ACATCATAGATAAGACATACAAGTTAAATGATTGTACATGCTATGTTTTGTATAGCATACTTATTGTTTAGTGTAATTTCCTATCGAATTATGGAGTGACTCACTATAGTTTGAACAAATGTGTCGACCACAATGTCGAAATGTAGTTAAAACTTTCACCCCTATACTTTCACGTGGTTACGGGCATGAATGAACCGAAACAAACACTAAATGAGTAGAAATGTCAGTTATACGTTTAAAATGATTAGATATCATTTTGGATCATGTGGTATCAATTTCCATCCGAAACTTGTAAAAGCAATGTTTGGAACATTATAGATAAGATGTACAAGTTGTATTATTGTACATGCCATGTTTTGTGTACCATATTTGTTACATTTTCCTTTGTAGTCAAATGTAATGTACTTTCCAATCGAATGTATGATGTGACTCAATATAGTTTGAATAAATGTGTCGATAGTAACGTCAAATGTAGTAGAACCTTTCATCCCTAAACTTTCACGTTGTTACAGACATAAATGAACCGAAACGAGCACTAAATGAGTTGAAATATTAGTCATACGTTTAAAATGACCAGATGCCGCTTTGGGTCATGGGATATTAATTTTAATCCGAAACTAGTAAAACATGTTTTGAAACATCATACATGACTCGTACACATTGAACGACGACACGTGCTATGTTTGGATACCATACTTGCTACTTATGTTTTTCTTTGTTATCAAGTGTAGTGTAATTTCCCCCGAATTATAGAGTGACTCATTGTAATTTGAACAAATGTAATGAAAGTTTCAATTCATTCATTTTTATATGCATAAGAACGAAAATAAATTTTCACGCGTCATTTTAGGTAGCGGATTGGTTTCAGTTTGAAATGTTCTATGTTTTATATACCCTAAACTCCAGTCATACTTGTAAAATGATCACATGTCGTTCTGAGTTGTAGGGTTCGAATTTCACTTATACATGTTGAATGATTACATATTCGTTATTTTTTTATATCCTATACCCTAAATGGCACCCCTACGAATAAAACGACAATATGCTGTTTTGAGTCAAAAATTCTCGATTTCACTATAAAATTAGTAAATTAATGTTCGAAATATCATCCAATACTATAAATGTAACCATACGTTTAAACAATATACCCAAAACCCTATACCCTAAGCCCAAAATCCTAAACCCAAAACGACAACCATACGTTCAAAATGACCAGATGCCATCTTGGGTCACAAGTTATCAATTTTAGTTCTAAATTAATAAAACAGTATTTGAAACATCATACATGACTTGTACATATTGAATGACTACACATACTATGCTTTGCATACCACACTTTCTACTTACATTTTTCTTTATTGTCAAGTATAGTGTAGTGTAGTTTTCATCCGAATTATAGTGGGGCTCGCTATAGTTTGAATCAATGTGTCGATAAAATATAGTTAAAACTTTTATCCTTAAATTTTCAAGTGGTTACATGCATAAATAAATCGAAATGAACACGATATGAGTAGAAACATCACTCATACATTTAAAATGACCAAATGTCTTATTGGGTCGCGAGGTATCGATTTCACTGCGAAGCTAGTAAAATAGTATTTTAAACATCATACATATCTTGTACACATTGAACAACTACACATGCTATATTTTGCATACCATATTTGCGATTTACGTTTTTCTTTATTGTCAAGTGTAGTGTAGTATAGTTTCTAACCGATTATAGAGTGACTCGCTATAGTTTGAATCAATGTGTCGATGAAATGTTGTTAAAACTTTCATCCTTAAACTTTCAAATGGTTATGAGCATGAATAAACCAAAATGAACACGAAATGAGTAGAAATGTCACTCATACATTTAAAATGATCAGATGCCTTTTTGAGTCATAAGGTATCGATTTCACTTTGAAACTAGTAAAACAGTGTTTGAAATATCATACATGACTTGTACACATTAAATGACCGTACGTGCTATGTGTTGCATACCACACTTGTTACTTATGTTTTTCTTTATTGTCAGGTGTAGTGTAGTGCAGTTTAATCGAATTACAGAGTGACTTGATATAATTTGAATCAGTGTGTCGACGATAACATTGAAATGTAGTTGAAACTTTCATCCTTAAACTTTGAAGTGGTTATGAACGTAAATAATTCAAAACAAAGACTTTTGCAAGCTAAACAAACTAATTTATTGAGTATTTTAACTCATAATAAATATAATGGAATTGGAGTTCCTTACTTCATTCGCAGTAAAGTCTATTGTAATTTTCGTATGAAATAATATTGTTGGTCACTATTATGTGAACTTTATATCGATACTCATGTCCAAATGTAATGAAAACTTCAATTCTCTTTTTGTTATATGCATACGAGTGAAAATAAAGTGAAATGGATAAGAAATTAGTTGAAGTAACACCGAATCATTTAAAACAATAGCGTTTTAGATTAGGGTTCTCGCATTCATTCATTTTATAAGGATACGAGTGAACATAAAGTGGAATGAATACAAAAATAGTTGAAACGACACCTAACTTTTCATTGATATTATGTCGTTTTGAGTCATGTGCCTTGATTTCACTCTAATCCGAGTTGGTAAGACTTGGAACATTTTAGACGACTTATACAAGTTAAATGAGTCAACTTGTTGAATATCTTATCTCATGATTAGAATATAATGAAATTTAGTTACTTTCGTTCATAGTTAAATCTAACACAGTTTACTCATGGAACAATAGCATTGGTCATTATCGCGTGAGCTTTATGTCAATACTTGGGGCAAATATAATGAAAACTTCCATTCGTTTATTTTCATGTACATAGAAGTGAAAATAAAGTGAAGCGGATACGAAAATAGTTGAAACAACACCCAATCATTTAAAACGACATCATTACATTTTGGATTATAGGGTCTCGATTTCACTCCAAAATGAATCAATCATGTCTTGGAACATCACATAAGACTTAAGCAATTTAAACGAGCTATTTTGTGGAGTATTTTATCTCTTAATTGGAATTTAAATTATTTAGCCTTTTAAATATATCATGTTATTTTGGATGACGAGGCCTTGATTTCACTACAAAACGAGTCGATAGACTTAGAACATCTTAAAAGACTTGTACAAGTTAAACGAGGCAATTTATTGAATATCTTATCTCATAATTAGAATATAATCGAAATTAAATTACTTACTTTCTTTCGTAGTTATATCTAATTCACTTTATCTATGGAACAATAGTATTGATCATTATCCTATGAACTTTGTATCGTTACTCGTGTCCAAATGTAATGAAAACTTCTACTCATTCATTATCATGTGCATACGAGTGAAAATAAAGTGAGGCAGATACAAAATTAGTTGAAACGATACCCAATCATTTAAAACATCATGCCATTTTGGATTATGGGTCTCGATTTCACTATAAATTAGTGATAAATTGTTTACTTTAGATAAAACGCCATCAAGTAGTTTATATTGACAGCGTGTCGTTTTGGATCACGGACATTCAATAGCATTCGAATTATAGTTAAAACTTGTTTTAATTAATTTCTATGTGGATACGAAGAAATATAAAGTGATACAAACATGATATTAGTTAAAACGACATTCAATCGTTTAAAAGGCATTATGCCATTTTACTTGTTGGTTTACATTGTGTACGAAAAGTCAAAATAAAAATGGGCATTTAAGTTTGGGAAATTTGGTAAATTTTTGTTTCAGATTGGATATTTTAGATATTTCAAATGAAGGGTGTTTAAGACTTTTAACACATTATAAAGTAGACTAAATGCTAATTAACCAAAAAGTATTGACATGGCCTATTTTACAAAATATTATTGTTGACTAGGCTTTTTAAACAAATCCCTCCCAAGTAAATGCAATTTGCATCATGGAAAAACGTGCAAAACATTACTATATATTAGTTACAGTAAAAAATCACGATCTTTTATTACTCTGCCATATTCCATTTAATGCAAATTGCAAAATAGTACCAATTTGCTAAGACTTCAATGATATCACAGAATATCTATTTCATCACACTAATGTTGCAACTAACATGACATTTAAATATTTTCAACAAGCAAATACTTAAATATCTAATTTTTTATAACACTTTCTATTAAATTGCCATCTTTGTTTCCACTTATCAACTTAACACTAATTAGATTAAAAAAGAATCATATGTTGCAATTTTCAAAATCACCTACGTTATTTACTTATAAGCCCATATGTATATGTTCAATATCTCATACTCAGAACACTCTACTACATATTTTTTTATCAATTTGCATATATATCTACATCATGAAGAATAAGTAGAGAAATAACATTTTTTCAAATTTGCAGTAACAGGAAGAAAGTTGAATTGTTAAGTATTTTTGGTGTAATTCAAAGCAATAATGAAAAATATGAAGAGAAAATTGAGTCATACAAAAAAAGGAATAAATTTAAAGGTCTAAAACAGCCCACCCTATTGGTATAATTCTTCCTGGCACAAATTTCTCTATTTTTTTTTTTGGGCATAAAATCGTATTAAAAATGAAAAATCGAGGAATCATTCATACTTGAGAATAGCCCACTCTGAAATTGGTTCTTAGAAGTGGTTATTCACGTATGGGTACTTTTTTTGGCGAGTTTCGATCTTGGAAAAATTGATAAAACCTTCATACCAAATTCCTCATTTTACTCAAGAAGACGAAGGAAATCGATTTTGAATGGTAGAAGGATCTGGAGATGAAGAAGCCAAGAAGAAAAATTAGGGGAATTGGGGATTGTGAAGAGAGAGCAAAGATGATGGATTTAAGATTCTGGAATTCAATTGATTTGAGAAAAGAAAATGGGGAATTAAGTTTTCTAGGATGCCGAATAAAGATGTTTTAGGTAGTTTATAAATCCCCCTTTAATATATTTATTTTAAAAACATTATTCTGGTCAAAGGCTAATATCCAATGTGTATTATAACATAGGCTATTTGACCCAATTACCACTAGAATAAATACCCTACCCAGGACCAGCAGCTAATGCTTCAAGCTTTATACATCACTTGAAAGACTAGTTGTCACACAGAAAGAGAGAGAACGAGAAAGTGTTGAACTTAATTAAGATGGCAGAAGTGATCCTCCACGTATATGACGTTACAAATAGTAATTCCAGCAATGAAACCCTAAATTTCGCCCTCGTTCAACTCAATAACTTCTGTAAAGAAGCCATCCCTATCGGCGGCGTCTTTCACACCGCTGTCCAGGTTTATGGCGACGAGGAATGGGGATACGAGCAGTGCGATAAAGGCACCGGTGTTTACAGCTGTCCCGCCGGCAAAAACCTGATGTACACATACCGTGAACGTATAGTTCTCGGAAGAACAAATTGCTACGCTGCCAAGGTGAGTCAGATCCTAAAAGAACTTAGTCAGGACTGGCCGGGAATTAAGTACGATCTGCGGGCAAAAAACTGTAACCATTTCTGTAATGAGTTGTTGCAGAGGCTGGGAGTGCCCAAGCTTCCGCCATGGGTAAATAGGTTTGCCGATGTCGGAGATATTGCCTGTGAAACATCACAAACTCTTCAAAAAACTAAGGATGAAATGTTAACGGCTGGAAAAGAGGCATGTAAGAATGCCATTGATAATGCTATTAAGACTCCCAAGTCTCTTATCAGTTTAAGCAAAGGTACTCGCCTTCGAACAGAGCAATTTAAACCAAAGTTCTTTGCTGGACGAATTGCTAAATCAGATGAAGAAACCGGTGAGAAGTAAACCCTTGGGGACTGGAACTTAACCCAGCCATGACCATGTAAAATGATGGCCTAGTCGTATTATACTATATTCGAGTCCTATCTCTATCTTCATGCATGTTCGTATTGGTGTCCGTGTCCATTTGTAGTGTGCTATTTCCCTGTGAAAAATTCTATGAGTACGGGTTTTCTCTTTTCCTTTTACCTACCTGCCTATTTCTCTTATATTGAGTGATGTGTAATGCGTTATTGCATCAATATTACTGTTATTGTACCTTTATCGCCTTCTTCTCTCCCCAAAACTGTTGATAATTTTCTTTGATCAACAATTTTCACCAACAACTAGTTTAACAAAATTGTTAGACCAATTTGTCAAAAAACTTAACCGGTTAAAGTGAATACAATTTGTTTACTTCAACGGTCGCTATCTTTGAAGGGTTGTTTAATTAGAAGAGAAAAAATTATTTAGTTCTTACTTGTGAAACTTATTTGTTTGATTGTGTCTTGGAAACTATTTGATCAGACCACGCAATGCATTAAAGAAATCAAGAATATTTGTGTGAAATAATATGCGGATTAAAAAAATTACTAAAGAAGGACCATAACTAGTTTATAATAATGTTTATAAATCTCTATGCAGCGGATATAGGAAAAAGGATAATTATACAATAGTATAAAGGCTGGTAATCAATAGTCATCTTATATGGCATACATGTATTACTTTGTTATTTGATGCATGAAGCAATAAAAAACTATCAAATTAATACATTAAAATGTTGGACAACTACTGTTAGTCTTCACTATGAATAGTATTATTTTTTTATTATTTAAAATTAAGAAATAAAAATTTGTGGCTGATCCTTTACTAGTTATAGGACTAAATTCCTAATTAAGGGAGGAAAAATTCTAGCTACAAAAACTAGCATAAATTCATATGACAGGAACGAAGCATAGTTCCATAAGCTAAATGAAGAAAAAGTAACTTTACAGCTAATAAAATTGTTTTAGGGGGAGAGTCAAAAATTGTGTATTTTATTTAGAACCACTGTCCTACAATAAGGATTATGGAGGAGAATAATCATTCATAAATACTAATTAGTTCATAACACTCATTCTTGAATAACTATTTAATAAACAGTTGTTTCACTAAAACATTGTCTGGTAAAAATTAAGGAGACAAAAACACTAAATGAAGGGAAAAGATTTCAAAGAATTTGAAGTAATCAAATGTTGCCTCTTTAAAACATTGTTATGAAAATCTAATTGGACAAAATCCGAGTGAAGGAAAAAGAGTACAATCACTCCCTGATTCCATGAAATAAAATTCTCGTATCGAGCTATCCATATCTTGTTCGACAATTCTTCCATCGCCACCATCGTTATGAAAATTGATTTTCATTAATTATGGCATAATTCATTGTATATTTTTTTTATTAAGTGAAACTTGATGAATGGAAGATGAATTGAAAGAAAGAAGTGAGAATTAGCTAAAAACAATGAAATTTAAAATACGGGGACTAAATTGCAATATTTTAATAGTTGATACGGACCTTAGAATGAAGGTCGAAGAAACTACAGGTTCAATTGGATAAATTAGAAGTTAAAAGACCGATATTACAGGAGAAAATGACTTAAAATAATCAAGAATTAAATTTGGGGACCAAAATGTAAAGTTTTAAATAAAGCATATCTGGGTAGCTACCCAACTATGAAGCCAAGCGACCGCTCGACTTGAATGTTCAAAAAAGGTGGTTGAAAATCTTGCCCGAGCAAATCACCAGTTTCCTACTAGGTGACCATCCAGGCTAAATCTAGCAAAATTGGACTATTTTCCATTTCTTCCAGAATTCTATATGGAAATAACTTTCTTGCACGATTTTGACCTAATTTCACCTCTATAAACACAAAATATGGACAGCTAACATCATACACCTCTCATATATATATAAGAAATTGTAAGAATTCATACAATTAATGATTAAATCTTGACTTTTGAGCAAAGAAGAAAAGGAGCAAGTGGAGATTCATCAAGAAACCATTGAAAAAAAAATACAAGATTTCAATATTCTTTTTCATCTTCTCAATTTATCAAAAATTTGGGTGAAATTTTCAAATTAAACCTTTTTTTTTGTGTAATTTTGCAATGCTACGCTAAATTTTCGATTACTAAGATGTAGATGAACCTTTATTATGAAGCTTTTAATATAAATTAAATATTTTGACATCCAATATGCTCGTGTTCTTGAATTATTGTTATTGTGATTAATGCTTTAAATTGTTTGATCACCAATTTAATGAATTTGTGAATTTTATTGATTTCGGGAGAAACAATAAAATAGATAGTCCTTATAATAACCATTATAACATCTAATATTGATTTATATTAAAGATGAATTAATAAGGGGGGATTTGAAGCCTTAGAGTATGTTTGATTGTCTTTATTTTCAATGGAAAATTTTACTTTTTTCATCCAAATTTCTACTTTTGAGGTGTTTGATTGAAGAAATTATGGAAAATATTTTTCAAGTTTTGGTCACCTTACTATATTTTCTTCAAAAACAAGAAAATTTTCTTTAGGGAGGGGAGATTTTTTTCTAGGTAATTTACTCTCTCTCTCTCTCTCTCTCTCTCTCTCTCTCTCTCATCTACCCACCAATAATAAATGAATAAATTTAGCCTCCATTTGAGCCACATTATTGTAAAAATGAGAATGAAAAATATGGTCGTTATGGGCTCTATAAAAGAGATAAGAAGTCTAATACGGTGGCTTGATATGATGGATAATGGTCATATTTTTCATTTTAATGAGGAAATAATGAGGCTCAAACAAGGCGTATAACATTTTCTAGGTTAAAAACTAAATCAATCAAACACATATAATTAATAATTTTTAAACAAATAAGTTTCAGGCAATTGAATCGTCTAGAATTTATTTTCTTTCCATACAAATTTCATACTCATAATCACCCTTAGTAATATCCAATCTAAATTTACAAAAATATTTTAATTTGTTCGTTTAATTAGAATAATTAGTATAAGTCATTCAAACAACTTTGACTATTCAATTAGAGTTAAAAATAATTCATTCAAGATTATATACAGAGTTCTTGTGGGAACGATATCTTACTTATTACTTTATTACTTGTTTGTGATACCCTGCAGTAATGGAAAATCAAATGATTAGAAAGGCTTCCAACTCTTTGATCGCGTCAGAGAATGAAGTATATACTTTATTATCATCCATATCTTCTAGTCATAGTTGTCTCCTTTCCATTCCTTCCACAGAATCGTACGAAGAAGTTGAGTCCTCAAATTTAATGGATTGGCTAGTACCTTGTTCAATTCTTCCACTAGATTCTCTAGGGGTTCATTGTGGATGGCCTATTGCCTCCCAACCTATTGGAGAAACCGGCACACCTGAAAGTCTATACTCTCGTTCACTGTAGGATGCTTGTCGTAAGCATGTGACCTTCCACATACTTTCTTAGGTTGGAAAGTGGGGGTTTGACTCCCAGTTGGCCTTTAAAAATGTCACATCAATTGCATTATATGTGGCTTAAAGTACCAAGTTATAGTTGTCCTTAGGTGTTGGATTTGACAGTATTCTAAAAGCACTCCTAGGTAGCGGGTGTCGCCTAGACACGAGGTGCAGGCAAAACACCACTCCTTGGCAACAAGCGCGAAATTAAGCAATCAATTGCCATGTTGATCGCTTAATGCACACATAGTGTACTTTATTTATTAATTTTTTTTAAACTTTTTCATTTCTTTGAAAGCCTTTTATTTGACTTCAGTTTTAAGTTTTTCCTTTGAAAATTGTATAATTGACTAATTGCAAGAATTATTAAGTAAATATAATATTTTATACTTTTATATGTTTTTGTGCTTATTATTTTAATTATTAAATAATTTTTAAATAATTAAAATTTTAAAATATTATTAAAAATAAAATAAAAAAATTTAACACCTGGATGGCTTAGCCTCCATGTCTAACCGCGTTTTACTTTTTTTAGAACACTAAGATTTTGACCCAAACACCTAGGAGTCGATAGGCCCATCTAATGTGGCCAACAATTGGGTCCCTTCTTATTGTTGCGATTAAATAAGGTGAGGAGTCTCCACAAAGTCATATTGTTTAGAAGGTTGTCATCGATGAAGCATCGAACAACACTCCCAATGCCTCAGCATACATCAGTTGATGAGGTGATGGAATATGCTATCATCAACTCGAAGAAATTTGTCAATTATATGAAGGAATATGCCCTAATCACCTTGAGAACTTTGTCAACTAGATGGTGGAATGTGCCCTCTTTAATGGAAAATGTTGTTCAAATATCAATAAAAAAGAGCATGGAATGAAAGAGAAAAGCATAGGCCAAATTTTGGATTCATGTGATAACATAGACCTCTTAGAGGTGCAGTCGCATGGTGGTATGCAGGGCTTTAAGCCCTGCTTTTGGATAATCTATGTTGTCACAGAGGTTTACTTTATACGATCGTATAAAGGAACCAAATAGCTGTTGGGGTAGTTTTGGTTTGAAATTTTTGCAGCTTTTCACTTCTTTTTGCATCACTTCGTATAGCTATGATCCATGACTAAATATGTGTTTGATTGACATTGAAAACATATGAGAAACTTACTTTATTACACAAAAGGATCAAACATCCTTTTCTTCCATATTCATTGATTTTCCCTTCGTGTTCTTGAAGTTTTGAAGAATCACACATATGCTTAAGTGTTCGATTCTTTACAAGACTTGATTAAATCCTTCAAACCATTTGTCACGAGATCCTTTAAGCACCGAAATTGTATCCAAGAGCAAGAGCGGACACATATTGTTTGATGACAACGATACTATGCTCAAGCCTTCGAATTCATTTTCATCTTCTTGATATTATTTCTATCTTGTTTCTTCTTCGTTACCCTGGTGTTGAAAATTTTTCAAGAATCTCAAACGATATTTTGCGATGGAGAAGGGAACTACTTTGGTGATGATCAAGCTGATGATTCAAGGTCTTGTTTGGATCATTTGATGGGACGAACTTCATGAGAAGGCAAGCACAAATTGAAGTTTTCTAATGGCGTTGAAGAGAATGCTTCAGAAAGAAATGTTGAAGAATAAAAGGATTGAATCCATCATCATGAGTTCGACTTAGGTAATTATCACTTTCTCTTCTCAAATTCGAATTCTGTAAATTGAAATTGAGTTTCTATTTCATGCAGATATAAGGTACGGATATACGTGAATGCTTATAGAACATTTTGTGAATTTAACATTAGATAGCAGAATGTATTTGCATATGTACATTTCATTTCATGTTGGGCCTGGTTTGGAATT